AAAATTAAGTCCGTCATTAACTTGAGACAAAATGTTTAACTTAAATAAACAGTTTCAATTTATCGAATTATAAACAAGCTTGCCATGACTATAGAAAATAAAAAGCAGAATGCAATTCAGAACTACATTTTGAAGCTATTCTCACTGTGAAAATGTGCTGAAATTATTGGCGTGTGCTTCATTCACTTCATTGTAGACAAAACTAAGCTATAAAACTGTGCGTATGTGCCACAGGCAATAGTACAGGTTAAACCGCACGAACTAGCCTGCAACAAGTGCACAGTCAAACCTATGCTAAAGAACTGAGTGTCTGTGAAAGCTCTTAGATTTGCTTTTATATTTAAAATAATACCACTGTATAAAAATATCTGTTTTACAGATAATTCTGTACCAACTTGAACAAATATTTATTCTGTAACTAAATTTTTGCTATTTTAATTTTCTTAAGAATGTATTCTTTTACTCTAATTCATAGGAAAAAAATATCACTTACCAACAACTTTATATTACATCCATTTAATATCACACAGCACTTAGGTAGGATAGGCATATAGCAATATTTAAAAATTGTCCCATCATCTCTCAATGTCAAACTGAAATATAAAAATTTTGTTTTAAAAGGTCCAATAACAAAAATAAGGCAAAATGTCAGACAAATATCTCTCTATAAAAGCAGTTTTGATAAAAATTTACTCTTAAAAGAACCATATACATATAAATACCGCAAATATCTGCAAAATATTAAAAAAAAATTAGGTAAGCTTTCAATAAAAAAATGTAATTTTTTACTACTGCTTTTTTTCTAAGGCTACTATTATAATAACTAAAATTTTTAATTTGTCAAAGAATTTGACAGTGTAACAGGTGTGATTTTATAAAATATTGTATAACACTGTGAAATTTTTCATCAAATATCTTTTGATGAAATATAAAATTAATTAATTTTGGGTTATCCTTTGTGATTAGGGAAATTAGGGAAATAGGGAAATAGGAAATAGAGGTCAGTATTAATAAAGTTCAATTCACTCAGTTTTTAACTAACTAAGTAAGTATTAAGTAATAATTAAGTAATTTCTTGGATACTACTCTTTTTGCCAAAAATGTCAGTAAAGAAGAAATACTAATGCAACACCACAGAGCGTTTCAAATAAAAATAGTGTAGCACAGGCAGAATTTTATGCTCAATCCAATTTTGTACAGAAAAATAGAGTAAAAACTTATAACTGTATCATTACTTTTTTGGGACACCATGTATTCAACAAAATAATTTTAAGATATGCTCCTTTATACACACTTATATAAAACGTTTGGTAATTATTGGGAAAACTGGATATCGTCCGATTTTCACCAAAATTGGTATACACCCTATTTTGAAGTCGTAGATTACGAATCTGAACTTTTTCCTGGCGGTCTCTTACCGTTTTTTAGAAAAACGAAAAATTATTTCAACATGAAATTTTTCATAATTTCTCATATTTTTAAGGTTTTCTAGCACATATTTTGTTAGGTATTCCATAAACAATGATGTTTTTGCTATTTTCTGTTACTTTCTTAACCAATTCTATGCATAATACAGGAAAATTTGCTAAAATAAATTTGTAAACAATCTGAAAATGTTGGGTTATGTGTTTCTGGTATTTAAAGCAACGTTGCCAATGCTAAACCTAAATTTAGCATGTTTTTTCGCTTATTCTGGGATTACGAAAGGCGGTCGCCAGAAGAACGGCTCCTTCCCATAATTGCTATTTTACCATCGAGATCTGATTATTTATAACCACGAAGTTGCACGAAAGAGTTTTGATTGCATTGGTTACAACTTCCATGTGAAGGGTGTTAATCTTTTGTTGTTACATTATATCAAAAAAAGATTAACCCCCTCCGCAAAGAAGTTAAAA